GCATCGTCATGGGGATACTGAACCCCGCGTGCATCATCCTCCGTAAAGAATATTGGATCTTCGAGCCTAGGTCGCTTTGGTGGATTCTGCTCTTCATGTTCCAGTTCGCGAACCGAGGCTTTCCCCGCTGCTGTGGTGCAGCCTGCGACGATGAACCCGCCAATAATCATATTAATCACTCCGCGGATCAGTCTCTCTTCCGGCATTTGTCTTTGCGGCTGTTCACTCTGTCTGCTACTAGACTCAGGAGCATTTCTCCTCTGTTCCCCTTGCCGATCTGTCTGGTTTTTATTTTCTTTTTTGTATAAAATTTTTCAAGTATCCGCGATGGATGAGTTCTTCTATCTCAACGCGGAGATTTCTACAATTCTCGGTACTATGACTGTGATCTTTATGGAAATGACAACAAACATTTCTGTTCCTAGTGGTGGGATCTCCCCTCAGCCGAGGTGGCCACTTCACATAAGAGGTGTCCTTGATTGCCATGAGGATTTCTCCCCGCTTCGCATTGAGGGGCGTGTAGCTCGTCCTTTCAACTAGAGGAGTTCGGGAGCGCTGATCTGACTTGTTTCCTCCCCTAGTCGGGGACTTGCTTTTCCTTCTTTTGCCGCCGTCGTTGTTCGGGTTGTCATCTTCCCTTTTTCTCTTCTCCGTTGGGGCTTCAGTCTTCTGGTTCATCTCCTCTTCGGTCCCGATGAAATGATCGGAAAGCTTGAGGAATTCGGTGATGTCTTTGGGCTTGTTTGTCACTACGTGCCACTTGAATTCCCTGTGGGTAATACCCTTCTTCACTGGCGTAAGTCTTACAGTAGGATCCAGGTCGAGGATCTGTAAACAAGTGTCGTTGAAGCGTTTGATGTAGCTTCGAATCGACTCCCCCTCCCTCTGGACTATGTTGAGGAGGCTTTCTTGTGACCTCGGACACTTCTTGTTGGTGATGAAGTGCGAGGTGAACATCTGCACGAACTGCGCCCAACTCTTGATCGTCCCTGGCGCGAGGTTCCTGTACCATGTGCGAGCTACCCCTTTGAAAGTTGTGGAGAAGGCAACGCACATGCAAGATTCGTCAGCCCCAACTAGGTGCATCTGAGACTGGAAGGAGTCTACATGATCATTTGGGTCGAACGACCCATCATACTTATCCAGTGGAGGTACTTTGAAGTCCTTCGGCATCGGGGTTGCCAGAAGCTTGAAGGACAAAGGAAATGACACAGAAAGGAGGGGAGCGGTCTTCGTGGCTTCCGAGCTCGCCTCCTCTTTACCTTTAGGCTACTTGGGCTGACTGGGCCTAGCGAGCTGGCTTGGAGCTACCGCTCAACGTGCCTTGGAACGCCGCCTTTGCTGCTTCCTGACTGACTTCAGTGTTGTCAGGCAATGTCCTGGCATGGAGTGGCTTGAACTGCTGACGCTGGCTGTTGTGGACAGAGGGACCTCATCTAGAGTCCGCGGCCAGAACCCCGAACCAGATCCCTGCAAGCGAACCTTCAAGTTGCGAGGGCCGAGGTGAAGTAGCTCTGGCGGGTTGAGTGTCTTCCGACCTGTTCACTTGCTGCGAGGCGGGAGGAGTAACTTGCCTTTCCCTCCTGCCGCAAGACGAGACCTGGCTCCCGAGAGGATTCTGGATCTGGGAAGTCTCTCCCCGGCGAGGAGGGCGATTGTTCTGAAGGCGAGACTTGTTTTGTTGTGTTGTCGGATGCCAACGTGGAACCGGCTGTTGATTTTGTTGCAGCGGTGGGAACTGCTGCTGGTAGATGTGGTGCAAAACCTGCTGTTGGTAATGCTGAAATTACTAGACCTGTTGCATTTGGGCTTGAATAGCCCGCACGCAGTGTACCAGGTTGTCGAACTGATTCTATCCGACTCTAGGGGGAACCACAGTTGGTTCAGCAAAAGTCGCACCCACTACAGGAGGAAGTGGGGCGTTCACGGGCACGGTTGCTTGAGGCACAGTCAGTGTAGGGATCCCACCCACGGAGAGTGGTATGGTAAACTGACCGATGCACACAGTCGGGATTTGAGGTTGCCCCCTGGAGACGTTCATTTCTCCGTTTTGTCTGGCGTTGCTGGAGGAAGCCATTGATTCTAAATTTGAGATTTTTGGTGGAAAGAGGCTTCTAGTAGCGTTTCCCACAGACAGCGCCAATTGATTGAGCGCGATCTGGCTGCTCCCAGTTGGAGGTGACTTGGTTTCCGGACGGACGACAAACTGAACCTGCAAGGATATCAGAGAACTTGGGATGCTAACCCGGCGAGGTCGCTCCGATGCTTAAGTTAGTAGGCTAGTAGCAAGCTAAAATTGCTTGAAAATGAGAGAGCTTGAGAGCAGGAAATCACGCATACCTTGCACGTTTGGGGGGTGGAGCCTTTATATAATGGAGTCCTCACGAGTTTCGCGGAATAGTTTCGGAATCCTCGTCACGATGAGATCCGTCTCCGCGATTAAGGCTAGCTGTTACGCGGTGTGATCCCGTGAAGTCCGGGAACCGTCGGAGGGATTTTCGGGATCCTCGTAGTGGCATGTCGGTATCCTCGAGTTGACGCCTTAAAGTCTCGAACTGGACTGAGTGTCGAAGTGCCTTGGCATTTAAGTATTCTTGTTGCGATCTGGTACCGAGGCAATCTCATTTCGGGGTGACTCTGTCTCAATGTCGCCTTAGCTCGAGGTAGATGGGTATCCAAGACTGTTGTGCCGCGGACTGGTTATACTGCGCTGTCATCTGTTAGCCAGGTCGTGTCCATGTGTCCCCCTGTTACGAGATCGAGTCAAATCACCTTTCATCGTCGACCATCTCAAGACTAGGTTGACCATCTCAAAACCAGGTCAGCCATCATAGGACTAGATCGGTCCTCACTGGACCAGGTCGGTCATCATAGGATTGAGCTAGGGACCTCAGCATGAGGGGAAAGCTCATAAGTGGACTATCGTCTCTAAACCTCCGGGATCACGTCGCCCCATCGACAGACTTGACTCCCGCCTCATCCGCTAGAGAGGCAATGGGGTGAGCTCTATTACTCTAGGCTGCGTTTGTTTGCGGTGTAAAATTACATGGATGGAGTTTAACACCGATTAGATTTTCTGGTGTAAAAAGCAAACCGACTTTATACTTGTTTTACACTTCTGTGTTTGGAAGATCGATGTAAAATCTTCTCCCAACTGCAAAGTCTTCTCCCTTTGCCGCTGCCTTTCCCACAAGTGGTGTGTCTTCTCTGGCCAGTGGCCAGAGGCGATAATAAGACGAACTCGCTTCCTTGTCGAACCCCATCTTTTAACTGCACGAAAACGCAACAGAAACTATGGGTTTGATGCTGCAAGATGGGAAACCCTAGCTGCTGTGATTCGGTTAAGAGAACGCGGCCCGATTATGATTACACAGCCCCCACAGTGAATTGAGTTCGATGAGTGTGCTGGCAATGACTGATTGACGAGGACGATGATCGAGATCGTTGTTTGAGGCAGCCACTGTTATCAATGACGGCGCCGATGGGAAGACACCGAGAGAGACAAGGAGAGAGAAAGTAGGAGATAAGAGAGATGGTGGCGGCGAGTTTGCTCTACGGAGGTGCAGCTGTCGAAAACAGTGATGGTACTGCAATATCAGGTGGTGCTCAGTGAAGTTGGATGGCGGGTGGCCGGATGAAAAGAAACTAGGAGAAGAGGGGAAGGAGAGGGGAGGGAAAGGAAGAAGAAAGAAAGGGAGGATTGACCGGATTGTTTCTCAGTTCTGATATTCCTCCCGATCGGCAGAGGAGGGAGAGAGAGGAGAAAGCAAGAAAGAAGGGAAGGGGGGAAGTACTAGGAGAAGAAGAAGAAGAGGGCGGCTGATTGAGCTGGCTGCAAAGAACATTGAATGCAACGGATAGAGCAGACATCACATAATGAGAATAGAGTCAGGTAGGGAGATGCTTCCTTAAAACGAGTTCTTCGCCATGACTATTGATCTCCTCTGCTTCGGTTCACAGTAGGTCTTCGATGGCTGGATTCGCTCCGATGCTGCCAATAGACACCACCAGCAAAATTTTCGATGTAATTAAATGGTAAAATGTAATTTTACATAACTACATGTCTACCAAATGCCTACAAAATCGAACCGGGGTGTAAAGTTTACCCCGGTTCGATTTTATACCTCTACTAAATGTAGCCTTATGCCAAAATTGCCTCCAAGTTCAAAATATCAATACCTATCGGACCATATTGGGTGTTTAAACCGGCCCTTCTAAATCATATTTGAAAAAAAAAACTAAAAAAACTATTGATATGTCTCTATCGGTTTATCGGACGTATCGATATTTTGAACCTTGCTTCGAACAAGGTGGGCCGATAAACCACATCCCTCTGGAGATCTCGGGCATGCAATGTGAAGCCCACAACAACCTGCATCTATTTAAAGGCATCCCAATGATCAGAAAATGTAGGTATGATACAGCACTCGCATATCTTTTGCATTCTAACAACTCGAGACTCTAATACCCTTCTCTTATAATTCGACTAGACAACCTTACCAACCCGGTGTCCAAACTGTCATCTAATAGAAAGCGACCAAATCACACATCACCATTTGAAAAATAAAAGAACATGGATAAATAACTTATCCAAAAAGCCAATAGGGCCTAAATGTCTTTGCCACCTTGCTGATTTGATTTGGAGCCATTTTGGGTTGAATAAGAACCAATATTTTTACGAACTTGTAAAACACTCGATTAGGTGAAACTGAATTTCAAGCCAAACTCAAAGCCCATTGTATAGTTCCAATATATTGAGCCAAAACCAAATTCGAACTCATATTTTATCTCGAATCAATCCCTAAAGCCATGCATCCATGATCCAACTGCTTTATCGGACATATCAAAAAAAAAAAAAAAAAAAAACCTGCTTTATCAGACTGGAGCAGATACATAGGCCCCCTAATCGTTGGCTTATCTCTGATCCTTTCTAACACAATCAACGCATCGACGACGTAATGAGCAACTGAAGTCTGAAGCTTCCATTGAACTCAGGGAGCTAAAAAAAAATGTATGGATTTTGATTCCGATGAAAACAGTAAATTCACAATTTCACATACATATATGTAGCGTAGAAGCACGTATATTCCAGTATTACGTATTACAAATGAAGAAAGGGAAACAGTAACGGGGGTCGGGGGGAAACCAAAGAAGCCCAGATGACAACAAAATTGAAATCCCAAAGATGGAAAAGAGAAACAAATGAACAATCTGAACCAAATGTAACAGAAATCCGTGCAGTGGTCGCGTGGATTCTTAGCTTCACTTCCTCTTCCAGGACCAGTTCGCCCATCTATGGGTATAACTGAGAAGTGAAAAAGCTTCATCAATGGTTGTTAACAATCGCTAGTTCACCAGATACCTACATAGCCTTTACATTTGCAAGCTCTCTTGGCCCGTAACAGGGGGTGCATCTGGTTGCTCCACAAACTCTAGTAAGTTGAACTTGAAACTACATAATCACACATGAACAACTCCGTTCATTTTCACCTTCTAATTCTTCATCTGATGCCACATCACTGCCATCAAATTGAGATCTAAAATCAGCAGCGTAATGCAGCTAAGGATCACAGTCATTGGAATTAAGTGTTCAACAAGGATGCAGGCTATGAAGGCAGAATGAAGACTTAAAACTTTACTAAGATGCAAATAATAATGAAGTCGGTGCTTTTGGCCCTCAAATTTGCGCCCATCAGCCTCAGGTGCTTTTGTTTCTTTATATTTTGACCAATGACAAGGTAAGAGAAAGGGTGAAGGTGAACTTATGTTCGCTCATTTAATGAAGGATACAACACCCTTCCAAACACTCCAATGATGGACACGTAACCAGGTAGAATTGTTTTTACCAAAAAACTAACCAAGTAGAATTGCAGCCTGAACAAAAAAAATTAAGTCCATGAGTAGGATGCTCAGTAGGACGTTTGTGTCCATTCAAAGAGCGAAAATTTTTTCTGAGGGTGAATACATGCAAAGAAGCATCAATGAGGAAAACAAGAGAATCCATTCCTCCTTGCTCCTCCCTTGAAGGCTCTCTCTCTCTCTCTCTGCAAATGAATTAGCAGAGAGACCTTTGGAATCCCATCTGAACTAGTTGCTTACTCTGGAAACCAAAATTCTGGCTTAATGTAGCATATTATACCAGCATCTTAAAGTGCAAAAGCCATCTAAATCATCTCAAATCCACCAAATAACCATCTGGCAATCCCTTACCACCATCTTTCTCAAACTCCAGAGGACAGCCCGAGGGCTAAAATGAGAGAAAACATCTCTATTCTCAGAGCCATAGTCCCCAACTCCAAATGAAATAAAAATAAACAAGGATGATCTAACCCTCCAACCTACATCAACACTGCCAACTTCTGAATGCCTCGAGTTTCCTACAGAGAAACCATCTAATTGAGCTCCCTGCTTTTATTTTATTAATGATTAACGGAGAAAAAAACAAGGCTAAACCTTAATGAATGAGATGTTTCAATATTTAATGAATATGGGAGAAAAAAGCATAGCTAAACCTTAATGAATATTCATAAACATACCATGTGAACATGACATGCATCATGTGTAACTAGATGCTATAACAATTGCAACTTACCAAGCCACCAATTTACTAGAGAGAGAGTTCAACTTGATGGAGTAATCAGTGAATTCCTTCCACTAGGAACTTGAGAGACCTATTCAAAATAATATAACACATATCCCCAAGGAGGACTACCCAATGTTGGTCCTGGCTATCCAGGGTCTTGGGAGGGGTGGACTGGATACAAGCCTAACCTTTGGCATACTTTGCACAAAGTGGCCAGTCTCTGACTTAAACCCACATATTCATACTTTTCAGCCTCAGTTTTTACTATTGCACCAAGGAATGGCCCCTATCAAATATCCCTTAAGCACAAATGTCTACGTATCTTGTGGGTTGTAACTTCCCTTCCCTATATTCTTTAGTCACAGAAGTAAACTTATATACATGTAAGACTAGAAGTTACAGATAAAGATCCACAAGATGTTTCCAGCATTAAGGAAGGCAAGTTCTGCATTTCCAAGCATCCTTGATTGAATGCACACAAATGATTGTTACAGAGGATGTCAAGCATCCTTGTTTGACTAGACATTCAGTTCTGCATTCTTGTAAAATCAGTATCTATGTTATTCGTCACTTCCAACATCATCAGTCTGATGTTTTTGGAGTTCTTCACACTTTCATGTAATCTATAGAATGAAAATGGGATTAGAACTCTAGCCAATTGTCCAACTTTATTGAGCCTTCTTTGTCGATAAAATAATTTTTGCCTCTTTATTGTTTTATTGTTATTTTATTTGCTTTGAGTTATTGATGCATGTCTGGAATATGAATAAAAAGGAATAAATCCATTGACTGTGAGAACCATGTATTAGTGTACCACATTATGTGTATGGTCACAAAAGAGAAAGTGCTAAATGGGGGGAGGGGTGGAATACTTTCAACATAAAAGAAAAATCATCTTTTCCTCTACTAAAAGATGGAGAGGCAGAAAAGAAAATCAGTTGGATGTGGGTTTCGACCACAAGTATATGAAAATCAGAAAATGTGATCCCACAAGACGTGTTGTCATGGACTACTATTATACCTTGGAGAGTCACATTTTGTGAATTGCAATACTGACATGGCATTCAGGCATTGAAGTTATGCACCATGAAAAATAATGGGCAAGTACTAGGCAGAACCCACAGTAAACAATTTTTCATGTATATGGACACAGAAGCAGGATCTCAATTTCTGTTATAGAATCTGACTCAGCAAGTTGAAAACATAGGGGTTCAGGGATAGTGTGAAAAAGCATTTATTATTAAAAAATTATGTCTTGTTAATTCTACCATCGTTTACCAATATTAACGGCATAAGTGAAGGCCATCCATAAATGTTTCTCTTTAATGCCTAGAACATTGTATAAGAAAAAAAATTGACTCCTTAGAATCACTTTTGTCAAACAAGGAGAAAAAAAGAAAAAGAAGCTAAAAAGAGAGTCCATGAAACACTGGCAATCAAGTATAGATGATGCCAATGACCCAGTAGCTGAGAAGGTCACTCAGTTTCCCTCTAAAATTGGAGGTGTGGGATCAAAACCACGGAACCACGGGCTCTCAGTGGTAAGGTCAGTGGACCTCACATGCACCCTGTTCTGTCCCCACCCCGGAATCCCTGTAATGTCTAATATGTAATACCAAAAAAAAAAGTACGGATGAACAATGCTGAATCTGTGAGACAACCTTTAGATAGAATCAACAGTCTGAGAAATCTCCGTTCTAAGAATATTAAAGTCTTCTTAACATCACAAAGGAAAATTCTATTAACAAGTATTCATGTAGGTTTCCTTTACATCATCTTTATAGGTTGCCAAAACCCTAAAAAAGTGATAACAGCATAAAACCTATTGACATATAGCAATTTTCTAGGCTCAAACCCTTCCTCTTAACTAATTTAATGACAGGTAAGACTATAGGCTGGATTGTTCGAGGGCCTTCTTTTGTTTGACATTAATACTAGGAGAAATAAGCATGGATTTTGCTATTAATTCTTCTAATGAGGTGTCTTCTGGCTTGCAATGATGAATGGGCATGTCTAATTGAAGGTTCTTTCATCATGATGGCAGAGTCCCATTATAAGGTGATAGTGACCAACATACTTGAATTTGCCATGTGAAACCCAGCCTACTTCTCCCAATAGGTGGTGCTCAAGGACTCCACAACACAGACTAAATAGACATCATGTTTATATAGATCCATTGTTGGAGACATGTCAGAAATAATTCATGAAAGCCGTCTGTCGGTAATAGCTCTCTAGACAGCTTGCTTATGGTCTTACATACTTGGTAAACATTGAAGCCATCAATCAAAGGATCCAATTATTGGTTCATCATACCATCTAGCATGCACCCAACTCAATTCTTAAAATGATTAGGAAGGACAAACAGAGACCAGAAGGATTGCTGCCTATACCAATTGTCTTTTAGAGGCATGAATAAGATTGTAGCCAAAGCACTTTTCTAAGACTCCAGGACTTACAAACTTATTGGCAGGGATCCTGACTACAAGCTTACAACAGGAAAATTTGTCAACTGATTCAAAAATTACTTTTATAGTAAAATAAAAATAATTCATTAAAAGAAAAGATATATAAGTAGTTTATTTATAATGATTTTCAAACTGGTAATTATTATAATTTTCAAATCAATAAATAAACTGCTGGAGTTTAATATCCATTTGGAATTTGTAAAAGAGATAATGTAAAAGTAAATTTTGGATCCCCCCACCCACCTTTCATATCAATAAACTTTAGTAAAGGCATCCCAAACCCCCCAAAGGGGAAAAAAGAACACAAAAAAATGTTTTCCCTGCAGTGTTTCACCAATGCTTCTAATAATGCAGAAGGACAAGTCCAACCAGAAAACAGAGATGTCTTACAATAGTTGGTAGTACAGTCAGAACACATACAAGAAATACCAAATCCAGAATGTGTAGCAGGTCAATAAAAGAATAATGGAAGAAAACAGTTAAGCTTCCCAGAACCATGAGTTCACAATTGCTGATAGGATGCAAAAATTATGCACCAGTAAGGTTAGAACTCATAGAAGAAATACCAAAGTCTGAATGCATACAGACACTCTAGAGGGATAGATACAAAAGGCATAGATTAAGAGAAGAATCAACTATCTGGCATCTGTAGAACCTGCTAGTGAATTAAGTTACAGGCAAGACAAGAATAATGAATTAAAAACTCTGTGACATTCTTAAACCAAAGAGAAGACGAATTATGACAAGAAGCAGCATAATGACAATCATTTCAGAAATTCTGAGAGGAAACAAATGTGCACAGAACATGCCACAAAAGCATTAACTAAAAACAAATACATAATAATCTAATTCTTAGGCACCTATCAATAAAATAAAGCATGGAAATCACAAAATGCATTAGGTGGAGAACTGATCTCAATAAGTCTTAATTCAGGTTTAAAGAACCAATACCTAAGTTCAAATTCCCGGATCTCAACAAGCTCTCTTCCACATGTGTCTGTCCACTGCACTTTCCTCCGTTCAGTACAACCCGGAAACTCAGTACCAGTTTCATCTGGCATTGGTGTCACATGTAGGTCACTTTCTCTGCTTTCTCTGCTAGGTACTGGGGCACAACTGGAAGGCTTCTTCAAGCTACTCTTGAGACAGACTTTCCTTGTGTCCTTATCTTCTCCATGATTAGCAATACAGGCCTCGTCCTTATCAGAAACAGCAGGAGGCTCTGATAAAGCATCCTGCAGTTGAGTGGGACCGACTTTCAGAGGAGAGGGGGACTCAAGTCCTGCGGAAGCGCGACCAAAGCAGACAAAGGAAGCGCATCCGCAGGAAACCTGGTTCTTCCCTGAAGCCAGCTGGAAGTCAGTGTCAGCTTCTTGGTCAACCAACTGGTACTGATTCCACGGCGAAACTCTCATGGGTCTTTCTTCGTTCTTCCGACCCAAGAGAAGAAGGGTCAGGCCCTTGCTATATCCAGAAGCTGAAGAAGAGAAGAAACCTCCTCCTTCTACTGCCAATAACATCAGTTCTGGTCATCTGGGAACCATCAAAAAATTTCTATACAAATACCTTTTTCTCTTGCAACTTAAGCCACCATTCTGTTACCAAACCACAATTCATAGTTAGGCCCCCTGTCAGAAACAACAGCATAAAAGGGAAATTATTCAATGATGATGTTGTTAGGTAACCAACACTGCAATTCCCCCTACTTCTCCAATAAATGGTCCACGATTGACTCTCTACCAATTATAAACAAATAAAAGATAATTTTCTAAACAAAACTTAGATGCAATAATTATAAAGAAGGCCCGGAGGGGGGGGTTCCTTTTTTTAACCAGAAACCGTGCAATTTTTGAGGCTTAAGAAAATTGGTTTCTTTTTCTGATAAGTGGTAAAAGGGTTTAATTACTGAATAGCTGAGGGCGAGCTTCCCTCACAGAAGAAAAGTGAAAAATTCAAAAGTATGGGTAGTGGGTAGCGATCTTCAAAGAGAAAACTTACTTCTGCGTTAGCCAAATACCAAAAGACTAGGAAAAGAGTTCTCTTTTTCTCATCAATCTTTTTTCCCTATTTGGCTTTCTTCTTTTAGCTTCTATTTTGGCTGATATTATGTATCATTCACTGAACTGAACCATGACATGTAGACACTAAGGAAGAAGATGGCCAAAAGGCAAGAGAAAAATAGAACATTTTCGTAAGATAATAATAATCACATAAATTTATTTAAAAGCGGAAGAAAATGTTTTCTCCATAGAACACAATAGACCGAATTGACCCGGAATAAGGTCGCTTTCTCTGCAAACTAAACAATAAAACCTGGAAAAAGATTAAGGAAAAGGAAAACTGAAAAAGAACTCAAACCACACAAAATATAACCTGACTTCGACCCAAAAAAAATAAAAATAAATTATTCCAATTAACCCAATCAAACACCGAGAAATTTAAAAAAAAAACAATCAAAAGAAAAGCATAGAACACTTCTGACCACTCGATAAACCCGAAAAATCCTAGTCAAGCTTAGTCCATTTCTGCTCAAAACGAGTAAAACTAACCCCTATCCATATTAACACATACAGAAACAAGATACTATTTTTTGCAAACCCAAAAGCTACCTGCCAAGGATCTCTTTACTTCTCAACTAATAACAGGAAAATATCTAAATAAGACCACTTGAAGATGAAACAAAGCACATTTGCTGACATTTGCCGCTTTCCATGACACTAATTTCAGTACCTCCATTACTCCCACAGCGACAACCAAACAGTTCTCAGTTCTCAGTTCTCACAGAACCCATCCACCCACCATTCCTTCACATTCGAAGACTCCACCAACAAAAGAACTTGAACTCAAATTTGAAAACAAACAAGTTAATAAGTAAATTCACCGGCTCGAAAAGCTTTGAAATCAAAACCCGTTCTTTTTTTAAATTTATTTCAAAGTTCAAACTCAGAAAACTACTGAAAATCTGTACCTGATCGAGATTCCCAGATCTGAGAGAGATCTCTGGTGATTCAATGGTCGATCGCATCTCGAAGAAACGGCAGTCCCGGCATTTTAGATCGTCTGTCCAACAGTCCAAGACAGAGACGAGCGAAAAAAACGAAAAAAAAAAGAAAGAAAAAGTTGGGAAGAAAAATAAAGAAAATAAAAAGGAGGAGGTTTTTATAAAAAGGACTGAAGGAGAGTGGTCTGGCGAGGAATTGGAGGAGTGTGTAATAAAGCGAAGGACAACGACGCATCGGCGCATGATAGAGATGGGCCCCTCGGAATTCCATATCTCGCCAATAATGAAAGAGGATTTTTACGGTGAAAGGAGAAAGCTCGCTTTTGTTTGCTTGCCGCCCTCGCCCATATGAATTAGAACTTAGAGAAGTGTGTCAGAGCCCAGAGGAGTTCCTTTTCGTGAATCTTCCCTCCTTGACAACCATTGGATTAGAATAAATGGTGGGACACACTATTCTCGTGGTCTACCAACACGATGATCATGATTTGATTGATAGAGGCACTCAGCTTTGGGTCTAATTCTAATAAAAGGTATCCAGGGGTGTGACCCTGGATGGTAAGTGGTAAGCGTTGGATTGAAATCTGGTATATTGGATAAGGTAAAAGGTCTTGACTCATTAATTTTCTTTTTTTTTTATAGATCATTAATTTTCATTATTTAAGAATAGATATTTTTTTTTTGGCTAAATAAGAATATATTCTTTCTTTCATAGATAAATGTAGTTTGAAAGGGGGGTTTGATGGGAAAGATATGGAGTAAAAAACCATTAGATTGGAATATTTCTCTTAGAAAGAATAATATTTTTTATTTACTTTTTTAGAATAATAATAATATGGGTGGAGATATAGTAAATCATGAACAGAAAACCTCTTGGGCTGGATGCTGTGCTTTCAAATTGTTTGCAAGATTTTTGGTTAAGGAGATGTAGTGTCGGTTATAACTTCCATAGTCAACATTGTAGTTGATCCAAATTTGATAAGGAGAATAACGGTTCAGCCCAGGGTCAGAATTTTTAGGCCCAAAGTACAGTTGGGGTGGGTGCCAGCTTAGAATTGATACCAATTCATGAGTGGGCATTGGTGCATAGAACGGGAGGTTTTGACATTTTGAATGTTTATAGATATACAGTGGAATTCAGAAATCTGCATTGGATTTGTCCGTACTTTTCTAGATTTGATACATATGTCTAGAGATGTCAACGGATTGGGTTGGGTTCAATGTGGGTTTAACCCACATGACTCGACCCACTGGCATCCCCTACCAATAAGCAAACAGAAAAAAAAAATAGATAATTTCATGCATATTCCTAATATAATTGTACCTTATTCATCTCAAACCCAACCTAAATCTACTAAACCAGAGTTGGGTCAGGAGGTTCATCTATCTAGGCTAATTACTGAGGTTGTGTTTGGTATCATTATCATTTCTACTTACAATATTTTAGGTTGTTTAATACAAATTTTATGAGAATTTTTTTTTTCTACCACAAATGCTTTGAGTTAGCAATACAACATTTGATACCATTGCTGAAGATTTCTTCAGAATACATCAAATTTGGTATTTTTACTATAAATGTCAACACCCAATCCAATGCCTACTTTTTAGTAAAAATAATTATCTAATGTAATGTAAGAAGATAATTTCTCAAAAATTTGTATTAACCAACCTAAAATGTTGCAAGCAGAAATGGCAATGGTATCTTGCAAACACCCAACCCAATGTGATATATCGATCGAAACAAGCATATATATGGCACAACAAATTTCACATTTTGAACTTCAGCCAAGAAAACTCATATGTGATCATCGATCATACGTGAGAACACACGAGAGAGCCAAGTTCATCTGCATGTGCACCAAATATGTTGACAGTTGAGCGTAGGTTGGCAGTCTCGGATTCCTTCAGCTGTTGAAAAGGGATGGATGGATCGAACGAGCACATGAATACTCAAGTTGGCTGACTGCAACCGACCCCCTTCATCTCTTCTTCCCTCAAAACTTACGTCTCCCTCTCAGCCAAGTATAGAGGGGTTAAAAGCAAATGATGAAAATTAATATGGAGAAGAAAGAACTCTTGGCACCAATTCTCAGCCAATAAGTATACAGGGGTGATTCTAGATCTGCAAATATTGCATTCTAATGAAACAAGCTCTCTCAAGAGAGATGAACTCAAAAGTTAGGAATTGACAATCCTTGGTTAATTAATTAGACATGTGATAACTTGAGAATTTTAATCCCAAAGCAAAATGTATTTAGATCCCATTCACTTTTCAGTAAATTTATTTATCAAAGTAAGTGCATTTACCCATATTCTTTTATTTTCCAAGTAAATAAAGCAATGCTCATTTTAGCTATAAAAATCTATTATTAAAAGAGGCATTTTTATCCTATTCAAGTGTTGGCAACTTTTCCCCCAAATGGGAAAGTTATTTACCCAGGAAAATAAACTTTCCCTGGTCCCCACATAAATCTGATGAAAGAGCATGGGATTCTTGCATCTAGTTACAAATTTTGCACCTGGTTCACCTAAGTATTCATTTTTTTGTAACTGTGATTTGAACTTCTACTGTCAATGCAAATTTTGCATCAGCTTTCTCGGATGTAAAAATTATACTTCTCTTCTGCCTTGATTCCATCTCATAAAGATACCTCGTCGTTTTGCTTCATACCTTATTCCTCTCAGACAAACAATGGAGACTGCTATTTTATTTTACCTTCTATTATACTCCTCATTATTAAACAGATTGAATTCAAATCAAATAAAAAAGTAAACAAGAATTTACACTAAAGTCATTTGTATTCTCATGCATTTGCACCAGTACAAACTAGAATTTGCACCGCAAACAAAGGGAGCTTAAGGTTAAATTTATATGCAGTGCAAATTTCGTTTGCACTGGTATAAATGAATGAGAGTGTAATTTTTCTTTGTTTTGTTTTTTATGCAATGAGAGTGTAAATAGGCTGAGCATAAACTTTTCATTTAAATTTGACTTTCTCATGTTTGTTTGTGAAAAATAAATATAAAGTAAAATGAAGTGACATCTATTTTGAACGAAAGAGAATGGAGGTAGGAGAGTTATCCATCTAAAAAGTGATGTACGATGCAAGATGCAGTCCCTGCTTTATTATGAGAAATAATTGAGATACGGGGAAAGTGATGCAAATTTTGCATCATTTTTTAGGCTGCAAAAGTTGCAGCATTGTAAAAGAGAAAAAGAGAAGAAAGTACAAGTTTTACATAAGATAAGAATGCAAATCATAATTACAACAAACAAACAAAATAAAAAATGAACAGGGTACAAATTTTTCACTTGGTCAAAAGATGGAAAAATGGTTGACTGTTTTGGCTATGGATTAATTAATTAATTGATCATCCAGAAGAAGTCTCACGTTAGATGCCTTTGTAAAACAGACAGTGTTGATATAAAGCAATTCAAGCATGACAGTGTTTTTAACCCGTTTCTGACCAGTTCAGTTGGATCAGTGACTCGGTGGCTTGGTCATTAATCCTAATTTGGTCATTCTTTAGACTGCTATATTGCATATAGACATGGCAATTGGATTGGGTGGGTTGGGTTGAGTTGTTAAATGATAGATCTTAACCTTAAATATTCGGGTTAGGATTGATCCATGGGTCAATTTGGATCATCCTAAAAAATAATTGAAATTTAAAAAAATAAAGAAAAATTACATGAAAAATGTCAAAACTAAAATAATTAACTTTAAAATTCCAAATATAATATAAAAAACTTGAACATTTAACCATTTAAAGAGTAAACAATAAAAAGTAAAGACTAAATAGAAAAAATTAAAGAGTGGAAACTTCTAACAATGCATAAATAACCTCAATTAGACTTGACAATCGGGTCAACGGGTTGATCCATGACCCAACCCAATCCAATCATATTTTACGGGTCGGTTCAGGTCAGTCGCTTTCGCATTCGGGTAACTAAATATGAGACCCTAACCCTGTTTTTTCGGATTGGGTTGGATTGGATTCGCGGGTTGGGCCAACTTTTTGCCAAGTCTAATTGCATAGATTCCTTGATTTGATAAACGTTGAACTATTGACCCATCTTACTCGTTTAGTGGGTTATTGAGTTTTTATATTATCCTTTTTTTATCTTTTATATTGATGACATCATGGATTCGCGGGTTGGGTTAACTACTGGTTCAACCAGATGATTGAACTACTGGTTCATTGATTAAGAGGGAAAGCAGCTCAACCTGCGGGCCAGATTTTAAAACCTTGATCCATGGTTGTGAAACATGTTTTGCAATCCCAGTAAGAACGATTCCGGGATGAGCAAAATATCCAGGCTTGACCACTTAAGGTAATGAAATTAATTTTTGGAAACTTAAAATTTAAATCTATTTATATTCAAATAAACTTGTGCATAGGCCCAAAAGTTTTTGGATTGGGTATAGGGATGGCAAGGGTGCGTGTTCGGAGAGGATTTTGTGAATTTTAGACCCTCCCCACCTCCCAAAAGATCTCAATCTGTACCATCTCCAAACCTGTAATAGGTTGAATTTTCATGATTCAAATTCTCCTCAAATATGAAAATGCAAAGTCGTCATCAACTGTATCTAACTTTATATTATACATGATCAATAAGCAAGTAAAATAACATGAACAAACATCAAAGTTTCCAATTATTTGATTGAAACATGTATAAGCACTAGGGGTGGGTCGAGTTTAGCCAAATACCATACCCTAACCATACTTGTGCGTAGGGCTGCAAACAGTACCCGATTATCTGATTCCAAATTCGAATTCCGTCCTATTAAGCCTGACCTGAATTTGATCCATTTATAATTGGATCAAGTGTGGACCTACCCTATCTGATCCAATATAATCCAATTTGATTCGATTTAAATATATATGTTCATATATACTTAAAAAGTATATTATATCTGTCATTGAAGTAGTTGGTCTTAATGTTTGTATTTTCCCTAAATTGTAATATGTTCAAGTTTTATACAAGTAATTTTCAATATTTTGTTCATAAAATATATTATTAAAGTCATTTTTAGCTCATCTTATTAATAATATATAATATTTTGGTTATTTTTAGTCTAATTTATTTATACTATTTAATACTTGATTATAATCTGAATTCAATTCGAATACGCTAGATATTAGATAGATATGA